AGCCCTGCACCTTCTCATATTGCTTTTGTTTCTTTTGCCAGCCCGACTGCTCCTGGTTGCACAGTAGAATTATAATTTTCATTTCAAATCATCTCTTCATTTTCTTCCTACCAAAATGAATCACCTCACATTTTTCTAAGTTGAACTTAACCTGTCAACTGTCTGCCTGTGTCATCAACTGGCCTATGTTTTTCAAATTTCTACAATATCCTCCTTACAGTTTATGGAAGTAACTCAAAGCTAAAACAAATATTACTGAGACAGCTTTCTTTCTTCAACATTTCTTAATAGAATGTGGAAGACCTTTCCAACATTTAACTGCTGCTTTCTTGTAACATGTCAAAGTCATTCCAGGATTTTCTTAAATTAACTATTTGCCTGCTATTTTCATTTCTGTATTCTCCGAGTTGCAATTGGTATGAGTGAAAGAAATTCATTTGGCTCCAACCATTCACTCATAGTACATTATAAAATGAGTAAGTACAGCATAATTTAATATGAGTTTTCACTTGTTTTTTATTCACTCATGCGACGTGGGTCTCGCTGGCTGGCCAGCATTTCTTGCCCATCCCTAATTGCCCTTGAGAAGGGGGTGGTGAGTAGCCTTCTTGAGCTGCTATAGTCCACATGCTGTAGGTTGACCATAAAGCCCTTAGGGAGGCAATTCCAGGGATTTTGACCCAGTGACAGTGAAAGAACAGTGACATATTTCCAAATCAGGATGGTGAATGACTTGGAGGGGAATTTGCAGGTAGTGGTGTCACTGGTCACATATGGTCTGTCTTTTACAAATCCATGCTGATTGGTCTTAATTAACTTGCATTTCTCCAAGTTCTGGATAAATTCATCCTGCATAATAAATTCACATGACTTAAACAACTGCTGATTTGTGTACATGTCTCTGAATGCACGCACAGTTGCGCAAGGAGCAATTAACTTGTATTTCAAGGTTCTTTATTTTGTGATACATCAGTAATTACATTTGATGAATAAGTGCTGAAGAATAATTTGACCTTTTTTAATATTGTTCAAATTAATGATCTTCAGCATGCATGGATGGAGGATAAGGTCTGAAACAGCTTTGATATTATTTGCGAATTAGCACATGGAAGTAGAAAGATTTTCACAAAATAACAGTGCAGATTACACAAAGTAAGAAGCTTCAGTATGATACTAACAATAGTGATTCACAATTGTTCAAGTATGTCCAAACTATAAGTACTTTCAATGTCTTTTGTGGGTCCTTTCGTGATTGAAGAGCGTGATCCTGAAGTAGCATAAATGTCGACGAAATTGGCAATTCATACTTTCATTGTTGGTGCCTGGGGGAACATCTGCAATTTTACCAACCTCTGGACATGCAAGTGCATCGATAGATGATCCTTGGAAACATACTGAACCAGATTTCAGTGCTTGCCTCCACATGAGTGAATTGGCTGCAGAATTTTCCCAATGTGATAATTAGATAATTCTGTAGTAATATAGTTATGCTAAACCAGTGGATTTTCTTGTGCCAGTCACCATTTACACACCATACAGACATATCTGCTGCTGATGGGTAGGCATCCTGAAGAAACAAATTAAGGGATGCTTTAATTTTCAAGGTTCCCCTGAAAAGTGTGAAGTGTGATTCAGTTATATCCAGTAAGGTTCTATTGAAATTAATATGTAGTGTTAAACTATGCCGGCACTGCCATAGCCAGTGATTCTTCAGATCAGTAAAGCCCCTTTCCTGTTTTTTTTGATTTTCTAAAAGTGAATGAAATTTTGGGTCATTTTGGGTCATCTTGGGCCTATTAAGGCTACTGAAAATGAAAATATTAAAAAATGTTAGCTCTATCCACTGCTATGAAAGTCATGGTTTTAGAAAGTTGGGTCTTCTACATAGCTCTTAAGGATTAGTACCTCCATACAAGGATCAGAACAAGACTCCAGTCTTTTCCAATTTTGAGATTCTGCACAGTTGTCAGCTATCTGGGAATGGTGACAATATGCACCTCAGTGGGTCCACGTACACTCTTCCCACGTGAGAATCTAATGATTGGGCCATCCCTAGAAAATTACAAACAGATTATTCAAACTTCGCCAATGGAAGTTGTCGCTGAATGTGGTATATTTGCAGGTAAAGTCGTTCAGAATATAGCTTTTAAAGACCTCCAGTTCCATGGTAAAAACCAATCTGCATTATTTTGTTTAGTAATCAAACAACATTGATGCTCTTTTTTTCCCTTTTTGGAAATAAGATACAAGATAAAATGCTGAGGTTGATTCAGGCCAGCACTTCAGTGGTCTTATGTACAAGAATTTTCATAAGGTTACTTAAATGAAATTGCAAACTAAATCCATTTAATAATAATCAGGTTATTAGTGACTTAATTAAAATAATTGACACAAAAATACCATTAACCAGTGCCTTAAAAATAATATACAACAAAATTTCAAAATCTAATTTTGAGTATTGTATGAAAGTCCTTTTGAGAACCGACCATAAAATCATAGAATCCCTACAGTACAGAAAGAGGCCATTTGGCCCATCGAGTCTGCACCAACCCTCCAAAGAGCATCCCACCCAGTCCTAGACCCAACATCCCACCCTATCATTGTAACCCCACATTTAACATGGCCAATCCAACTAACCTGCAGATCTTTGGACCGCGGGAAGAAACTGGAGCACCTGAAGGAAATTGGGCAATAATCCCTCAATAACTTATTTGAAACGCAATGCCAAAACACTGAATTCCCACCAGGGAGTCATACAAACAAAGAACAAGAGTAGACCATTCAGCCCTTTAAGCTTGCCCTGCCGTTCAATAAGATCATGGCTGATCTGATTTTAACCACAACTCTACATTCCTGCAGACCCCCAATAACTTTTCATCCCTGTAATAATCAAGGATTTATCCACCTCTGCCTTAAAAATATTTAAAGATTTTGCATCAGCTGCCTGATTCCAAAGGTTCACAACCCTCTAAGAGATTTGTTTTTCCTCTGTCTTAAGCAAGTGAACCCTTTATTTTTAAATCACGACTCCTTGTTCTAGTTTCTCCCCCAAGAGACAACATCCTTTCCACATCCACCCGGTCAAGCCCGCTCAGGATCTTATATTTCAGTTGTTACCTCTGGCTCTTCACATGTTTGTAGGACTCATTGTCTGAAGAACTAGGCTTGAGACCCCATCTCCAACATACATTTGCTCAAGAGAAGGGGCTTCTTGCTAGTTAACATGCGATTGTGAAACACTCCTATTTTCACCTTGTTCATAAAAAGACTACAAGTTCCTTGTTCACAGAGCATATTTTGGTATCTTAGCAATAGCAGGATGAAAGGTCAAAATACACTCAGATACATGAGTGATTTCAAAAGAAATTGATTAGATTTCAGTCCTATTTTAGGACTAATGTAATCTACAAAGAAGATGAGCTTACCTGTATAGTTATAACATTTTTTAAAAATCAAGTTTCTGTGGGAGCCTTGGTCCCTGGTAGCATATATTAAAATTTAACCAGTGGAATGAAATGATCAATGAATCATGTACAGCATACATAGAGGTTTTCAATATGCAACATTGGTGTACAAGGCTTTCCATCTGAAGTAGGTCAGGAAATTACCATATAATGTAATGTCTTAGGTCTCAAAGGAACTCTACCTAACAGGTAGATAAGGGCAATTAACTCAGATCCACAGAACAGATTACATTTAATCAAATTTTTTTGAAAAAGTTTGAAAAATCTCGAGACTTAGGTGGCCAATTAGTAAATTAAACTGTATTTTTAGGGACTTATCATTATACAATTTTAGTTAAATGTTGTGTTTTTTATCCACCAGGTCTCATACGTTTACAAGAATTAATGAAAGCCCCCTCCAGATATAATATTAAAGTTAAAATTCGTCAGTTGCCATCAGGCAATAGAGATGCTAAACCTCTTCTGAAGCAGATGAAAAGGGGGAAGGAGTTCTTTGTGATATTTGACTGTACATATGCTACTGCTGCCCAAATATTGAAACAGGTAATTGAAATCTCCTATATTCATTTGCTTGCTGTAGGATGCCTGGATGCTTTCCATTCTATGATCAAACTGCAGTGCTTTAACAGATTGTAAAAGAATAGTTTAGCTGAAGCATTCCTGAAAGAGCTGCATTGAAGAACGTTATGTAATCAATAGGACAAGTGTCCTTGGCTCTTTTATCATCATCCTCTGTTCCTTTCTGTTCTTAAAACTACTCTGCCTCCATAGTTTCACCCATGGGGGGCTCAGTGGATTGGGCCACTTTATAACACAGATTGTTGAAACAGTTGAATGAAGTGTAAGTCTCTATTGACCCAGAGAACTATAAGTGCTCTCTCATTAGAGAGAGATGACTGCTGGTCAGTTTAACCTGAGGTCACCTTGACTCAGATGACGGGCGAGACTTTCTCAGCCAATGGTCCAGAAAAAGAAGAAGGGAAAGTTATGTCTATTGAAGGATAATGATGTAATAAAATTGTCACGATATGAGAGACATATATGATTTGCTGAATATAATGATAAGGTTCAAATATTTAGAAAATGAAAGCTCTTCCTGTACAATCCAGCATCATGAGTTGGAGTGTACAAGGCTTCTATATGGGAAGCTCAGGCCTGGGTGAAGAAAACCTGTAGTTCTGGCAAAGCCATGAGCCCAGTCTTTGTGCTGTACTATCTTCAATGTGATAAAATTGTTGGCTCTGATAAGCGCTGCATCTGTCACATCTAGGTATATACAACAAATTGACTATGTCATCTGATGTGACCTGGAATGAGGTGTAATCATTCAGAACGATGGTTTCTTTAGAGTAAAAGCAAGATAATGCAGATGTTGCATATCGGGAGTAAAAACTGAAAGTTCTGGGGAAACCTTTAGAGTCACAGGCAGTGACAATTGTTTGCATCATAATTCCAGGATGTTTATGTGAATCATGGCAATATCATAGTGTTTTCTGTATTTATTTTGAGCTATTTTAAACATTATTTTTAAATAATTATTCCATGATGCACAATGTCTGACCAATGTTTCTGTGATATATTTAAAATAATGAATGGATTGTTTCATTCTATTTTGAAATTCATGTCAGCCTGTGTCCATCGAAGAATCAATTATGAATGTCAATATTTGGATATGGTACCATTATGTTTGTAAGTGGCACAGTGATTTGAATTTCCAAATGCCATAGTGCTTTGACTTTAAAAACATGGTTGATTAAAGTACATTGAAAATTACTGTCAAAATGGTTAAGTTTTCCTGCAGTTGCAAAATATGAATATGAAGCAGTTTCTAAGCCTCAGTGCAACTATTATAGTGGCATAAACTAGTAAGTAGGTTAGCAAAGAATCCAAATGCAAGGGTAATTATTCAAAGAAATGTTGCCACTGATCACACCCCCAGATTTATTTTCATCTCACTACATTGGCTAAATTTTATTCCTGCACCATCATCCCTGAATCTGTCACTACTCACTTGATCTACCTCTGTTTACAAATATGTGGTCATTGTGCCAGTCATATTTTTCCCAATATACTCTGTGCTGTTTGCAGCACCTTCCTCAGTGCTGCAGGGCACCCAGCAACTTTAACCTGCTTGCTGCTTCCCATTAGTGTGCCTCACTGTTACCCCATCCAGTTCTAGAATCATATTAAATGAACAATCCAGCCTGCTGACATCTCCAGTACACAGTAAAACCCCAACTGTGTTGTGCAATGATACCTTAAACCTAGACCCTGTTCTAGTCTATCATATGAAAATATCTCATTCCTCATTATATAAGGAAGAGTAAGCAAGTTCTTTGAAAGTCTGGGCCAGCATTTATCGCAAGATCAATATCATCAAAATAAATCAATTGGTTATTTGTAGCTGATTGTGGAATTTTGCAATGTTTAAATTGCATGCTGCCTTTTCTTCCATAAAATCAGTGACTAAAATTCAAAAAAACTCAAACTTGTGAAATATTTTAGAAAAATTTAAGGTGTAAAGGGTGCTATGTAAGGGCAATTTCTTTATTTGTTTAACACCTGTTTGTTCCTTTTGCAGATCCTCTCAATGGGAATGATGACTGAGTATTACCATTATTTTTTCACTACGCTGGTAAGGCACTAAAAACAAAAGCTTTTTTTCAGAGACTATGGCTCTGATTTGATTGTTTGTTGCTGATGTGCCAATATGGAGTTGGTGTTGGGAGCAACAGTTACTAAACTTTTCAAGTGTTAACTGAACCAATACTGTAACAAAAGTTACAGAACATCTATGTAAGGAGTTGCATCACAATTATTTCAGATCACATTGGACCAAGGCCTGATGGATGAAGGTGCTGGTGAAGTCCTGCTCTACACAGTTTCTGTACAGAGTTTAAAAGCAATAAATATTAACAGTGTGAGATAGCGTTCAAAGAACCAGATGACCAGGATCAGTGAGTGGCGAAAATAGCCTCTTTATTGCACATTCACAGCAGCACAGTGTAAGGCGAAATAGAATCCCCAAAATCATAGCTCAAAAGCAGCCATTTTATTCAAAATTCAAGCATACATTAACATTCTAACATTTGAGTGTTAAGCAGTAGACAAAGACAGAAATGTGATTTTCTGAAGAAGGGTCTAGACCCGAAACGTCAGCTTTCCTGCTCCTCTGATGCTGCTTGGCCTGCTGTGTTCATCCAGCTCTACACCTTGTTGTCTCAGATTCTCCAGCATCGGCAGTTCCTACTACCTCTGCAACAACTTTGTTTAAATGGGATTGTTTACATCGCGCGTTATGCATGAATGCACTTTCAAATGGGGTGTAACCGCAAATTGAAGTGGTTGTAACCTGATACGGTAGCGAACCCCCGAATGAGTTTGAATAGGGGCTGGCTAGTACATGGAAATCTGCAGTTAGTATTGTAACCACGAATTAGTGGGTTAATGGAGTAGTCGACATGATTCATGGAGCTATATTAAAAGTTGTTAACACCTTTGAATTCTGATATATCAACAGATTGCACTAGCCATTTTTGTCTCAAACGTCTGGAACTCCTAATGATATTCCTCCAAAATCTCTCTGTTTATGTCTTTTGTTCCCCAACAATCTTTAATGATCACAAACCTTAGACACAAATTCAGATGACACTGAATATAATCAGATCTCAGTACGTCTTATGGAATGGTACTTTTCTCGTTACTTTGGTACATGGACTGCAATGAGTGTTGTGGTATTTTGGATATGGCTGTATACGTAAATGCAACAGGATAGTTCCAAACACCTTTCGAATTATGTAACAAGCTGTCTTGAACTTTGGGTGGTGAGAGCAATGGTCCTTTACTTTTTATTGTCAAATTATGCTACTGGTCAAAAGTGAACATAATTAAATTGTTCTCTCCATTTCATTTTCTTGATATATCTGTGATTGCAAACAGTCGATATTTTATGCCGCAATCTCTTGCCTGGATACTGCTGTATGAAATTGGAAGACCATGTTTTGACCGTTGATTGTGCAGTATGAATGTCCGATTGTATCTGTATATCTTACAAACATACAAATGAGGAGCATGAGTAAGCCAGTCAACTCCTGCAGCCTGCTCTGCCCACCCAATAAAATCCGGATTATCTGTATGTGCTTCGAATTCCACATTCCCATTTAGACTGATGAGAGGACCGTTTTGCTTAGACACACTGATTCTCAATGGCTGTGTCTGGGGCAGTAAGGTTGCACCTTTGCACCCTCACAGTGGTGAAGTACCGTTATTCCGACAGTAGTCCATTCCTGCAGTACCTGTGTTCTGCAATCACTTGCATTGCAAGCAGAGCATCGAATCCCATTTTCAGAAAAAGTCATTGTTACTGAATTTAGTAGCACATCACTTGTCAGCAGAATCAAGCAGCCTGCAGCTTCTGCTGCACTTCAGGATTTGAATGAGATTTCAGAACATACTATACATGCATATGAGCCTTGATAAAATGTTGCCAAGTCCATTTAAACATCAATTATGCTGGAATTAATAAACTCAACATAGCTAATTTATGGCTTCATCGCTACAATGCTGACAAGACTTTTCCCATCATTATTAATTTTGCAGTTTGCAATGGCAAGAGGCTCAGTGGGTTCTTATAATCCTTGAAAGATGTAGATGTGTTCATTATAATGAAATCTTATGTCTTTCGATCTTTTACATACTTGATATTGTGAAACAGTCCAGTAGGTAGATTCTAATTCCCTATTCCTTCCATAGCACATATGCTAGCCTTTATATCAAGGCAGCTTTCAGTAACATACCCAGGATAATGAACAGAATACTCTTTTGTCATGTGTCTGAGCTACTAGAAATTTTCCCATGCCTAAACGTAACTTGCTCCCTCTCTCATCTTCAATACATGATACAGTAAAACAGCATCACACCTCATTTTAGATTTAAACTATTACTGCCAGAATTCTACTTCCCTGGGTAGAATGAACACTTTGATTGTGCAATGTGCATTTGAATATACTACATCTGATCATTGATGCCAGATCTTGGAGGTCTGCTGAATATCATTTTGGGCTACATAGTGAAGATTTTTGGTTAAGCCTTAATCCACATTATACCAGTCCTCCTTGTTAGAATTGAGCTCATTCAACTAAGTCTCACATTTCACACTAAGTCTAAATGTGGTCCAGCTTTCAGTAGCTGGGATGGAGGTCTCCTGCTTTGTTGTTAGCCCTGCTGGCTGGAAGATTTGAGTGGTCATACCTGCAGGGGTTTAGACCGAGAGGACCCAGATCTATTGAGTGTCCTGCCCAGATGCAGGTTCATCCTGGAACTTTTACAAGCTTTGGAATCACAGGAAAGTGAGAAGTGCAGGGACCAGGCACCTCTGCAGTGTCATGAGAGGAAAATTCAAGAGGGCCTGAGTATGGCTCTTCCTCCGTCTGGGTATATGCTGGCACCACCCTAAGAGGAATGTGTGGCTGAAATGAGGTTAAGGTCCCCTTTCTCTTTACCATTGATGCTGAGCTAGCTTAACAAGTGTCTCTGACAAGCCTGCCTCCCGTCTGTGCAGTATGACAGTGCCATTAATGGCCGAGGCCATGCGATCATCTTCTCTCTGGGGCTAAATGATTCCAGGCATGCAGCAGTCCTCTAAGTGTCAGGGTCCTGGGGCATTTCTTCCTTGACCTGCTGAGGAGACATGTCAGTGATGTGCTTAACAGACTGTGTGCTCCTGAGTCTAATGTCAATAGACCAGCAACTGAGGTCAAAATCTCTGAGCTGCACAAGGGAGCAGGGAAAAGTAAACTCTGAGAGCTCAGTGACTTCCTCCTTACTGCCACCTGGGCTGGCCTCTTTTTGGCTATGTATACCATCTGCTCCTAGTGCTTGCATGAAAGAAAAGAAAGCGTTAGTTGTGTAAGAGGGAGAAAAACTTGTGCAGATTAAGAATGAGTTAACACTGGAAGAATGGGCAGCACAGCATAATCACAGCCTTCTGGTTGGTCATTGAGATGCTGCTCCAAATGAGTGTTTGTACTCTTCTCTAACTTCCTTAAGAAGTTTCTCTTCATATGGGGAGAGGAGTCTGAAATACAAGCCTCCTCCCACCACCTACAAATTCGAATTTATTCAGGAATGCTTTAAATGATTCGATGTAGAGGAGGCCACATAGGTGGGCACATCTCTTTATAAGGATCATGTAAAAAATCTGATCTAGTTTTGTTCATCTAAAATGTAACTAGGAAGTTGAAATAATATTCGTTTTGGATTGCTTCCCAATGGGCAATAAAACGTATCTGATAATGCATTGGCCCAGGGTTTGCATTGTAACGAGTAGTGTATCGCAGATACATTACAGCTGCATACATTGGGGTTGTGTATTGCTGATGTATTCTTCCTTAATACAGCAGGCTGTGTATCGCTGATACATTACTACTGCATATATTGCTTTTAAACCTACTAGACTGTTATGTTGACATCCTTCTAATCGTCAGCATGGGCTCAATCTCCTTCAGTAATAAATCACTTAGAACCTTAGCCCAAGCTCTAAAAAGACATAAATAAATAAACTGCAGTGCCATCAAAACATATGCAAATTGCACAGTGGTTCTTGAATGCCATTCATATTTTTATACTGCTAGAGAGCTTATTGAAGCTCTTGACAGTCACTTGGAATTTTTCACGAATAATACCAAGCAGTATTAGCCCATTTAGAAGGGTGTTTTACATTTTGTTTGATGTTCATTTTTAAGAATGAAAGAAAATGAATACTTAAGTTGATGTATAGAAATATTTATTATTGTCTCAAAACATTAATGGGCATGAAGATCATATTTCTGCATTCTGTGATCCAGAAAGAGAAGCTTAGCAAGTTATAATAATGTGGAGAATTCAGTGGTGTGGTTTTGACTCATTGCCCTTCTGGTTCTGCATTCTACGTTTGATCCCAGCTCAAAATAATGGATCAAAGGTTTCCTGTTACAACCAGCTGGAAGCATTGGAAATGAAGCTAGTTTGAGTGGTTTCCTTGTATATATGTGAGTCTATGGCTCAAAAACTGTTCAGAATTTGTCACTTGGTTGACAGCCTCACAACTAAAAGGTCACGAGAATGACTGGAGTGAAGCAAAGAAATAATGAGCTGATGCTTGTACTTTTGAACCCACTGACTTCAATAGACAGCAAGTTATGAACTATTAAGCACAGAAACCAATCACTATTATATCTGGAACTCAATTTTAGGTTTGCTAAAATATTATGTTAAGTCAGAATAGAGAATATTAACTTAATTTTTCTGTTGATCCTGTTACTAACCTAAGCTTGCTGGATGCTGATGAACTGATAGGGAAAAGAAAATCCACTTGGCACTTATTTTAACATAAATCAACTCTCTTTTTCCAAAACAGAGGAAGAAAGTTTTCCATAAACCGTACCTTTCCTCAGATTCTCTCAATTAAGCACTGAATGCATTTTGCACTATTAAGGTCATCCTCACCATAATAGAACAAAAGAACAAAGAACAAAGAAAATTACAGCACAGGAACAGGCCCTTTAGCCCTCCAAGCCTGTGCCGATCCAGATCCTCTATCTAAACCTGTCGTCTATTTTCCAAGGATCTGTATCCCTCTGCTCCTTGCCCATTCAT